TCATGCCAACCCAGCAAGTACTTCCATGAAAGTCAATGTGACTAGTGGTGCCACTAAACATGAGTCAGGGGATCAGAATTTGTTTCTTAATGTTAATCCAAATTGTTATCTTTTGAAATAAAGAATCAAAGAAAGAAACCTAAATCCTAAGAGTTAAGTATGGTAAAATTCATTCAGTATTGTCCAACAAAAAACCAAGTTTTAAACTGATCTCTTCAAAAATAACCAAGAAAAGAAAGGTTAACAGTACTCAGTCGTTTCCTGTTTGGGTTATTATGACCAGAAACTGCACACAAAGGGATAATTGTGGTTCTCATAATAGATTGCAAAAAAACTTTTGTGTGTACTTCTTTTGCTTGCCGACTTTTAATGATACTTCCCCCTCCATGTATATATCCCATATGTCTTTGCAGTTACTTTAGGCACTTTTTATAGGACTGATTAACATATATAACCCATTGGAAAATTTTCACAGGCTAATTTGACTGAATTTAGCTGCATGGGGGAAGTCAGGCTATCAGCAATGAGGGCTGAGAAGGCTGACATTTTTAATAATACTAAATGTATATATACTATGTACTAAATGTATAAATACTAAATGTATAAATAAATATGAAGAGTTAATAAGAGTCAGAAAGATATTTGCTTTGTGCTCCTCAGTGACAATTAATGTATAACATAGAGCTGTATAAAATTAGATTGAGTTCAAGCTGCAAAAATACTCTTTGTTTCTGACCCGGAGAAGTCCTGAACTGTTCTGACGTAAGGTTTTGATTTGACCTGTTCTGTGGAGAGGACTTAGTGCAAGGGTGGGCAGTTATTTCAGCTGGCGGGCCACTTAAGTTTTGGTGAGCTGTTGAGGGCCCCACACATAACATTTTCCACAAGGTATCAGTTTAACAAATTATTGATTGCAAGCAAAGCATATGCTAAAAATAAAATATCTACTATATTTAAATTTTATTAAAAAAATATTTTTGTCCTGATTCATGGGTTTTTGAGTAGTGTATATAGAGGCAATTGCATAATAGCTCTAAATAAAGTGTACTCTTGTACATTGTGTGGAGGGTGGATGGGGTAGGTGTGTGGGAGGGATTGGGGGCCTGGGGCTTGTGCAGCAGAGCTCACTCAGGTGGTGTGGTGCAGGTGTATTCGCCCCCACCCCCCATCTGGTTCATCGCTGCTCCTATAGAGCTCTGCATGGGGCTGAACCCCACCTATTTCCACCCAGGGCAGCCCAAGCCTCATTTTTACCTGCATCCACCCCATGCCCACCCACAGCCTTGGCCCCAGCCCTGGACACTGTGCACTGCTTTCCACAGGAGCTGCTCACACGACTGTTGCAGCCACCCAGTACTGGTTGGCTCCCCCCACCTCCTCCTCCTTCTCCTCCTCCTGCCCCTGCTGTGCTACTCCAGGTGTGGGAGAAGTTGCAGCTGAGCGGCTCCTGCCCCAGTGCGTAAGGCTCTAGCTCTGGCTCCCAGCCACCTTTCATTCACTTAGCCTCCTGCATGTGGCTGCTTATCACAATGGGAAGGTGGGTGGAGGTGGAGCCCTGTATGTTGGGACAGGATCCACCTGGGGTTACAGCTTCCCCTGGCCTGGAGTGAGGCAGCAGAGGCACCAGGAGGAGGAGTCATTAGAAATGGGAGGAGCCAGGCAATACCCAGGTGGCTGCAGCAGCACTGCTGTGCATGCTAGTTAGGGCTGGGGCCAAAGCCAGGGCGGTGCTCTCAGCAGGCATGGGGCAGGGTGGGCTGAAGCACAGCACAGGCTGCCCCAGGCAGGAGCAGGCTCAGCCCCATGTGGAGTGCTGTAAGGGCAGCCACAGGCTGGATACAATCAACTGTAGGGCTGGATCCAGTCCATGAGCCATATTTTGCCTACCCCTGCCTTAGTATCAAAAGCTTGGTTTGGATTCTGCCCTTTTCTTTAAAACTTGTGTGCTAAAGTTCCTTTATAATCTTTAGTCTAAGCTATTTTTACTTACTGTTTAACAGATCAATATTTAGGGATGCATTCATGAAGCTACCTCTTAGGAGTGCATTGTTGCACATCACCATGCAACTTGCAGTAAAATTCTGTACTTTCCTATTATCCTTATGGCAAAAACACTGCTTAATTAAGTATTTATAGAAGATGGACCTAATAGAGGTGGTTACATCAAACTATTGACTGATCTACGGTATCCTCCAAAGAATAAAGATGATTCATAGAAATGTGTCAGAAGGGATTTGCTTGCTGCTGGAATCAGGCAATTTTGTGATGCAGAGTTTCTTTTTGATATCAGCATGGTGTTAAAGTGCCTCAGTGCTCTGCAACCCTATAAAAACCAATCAAACAGCTGAATTTAAACATAGTGATCTGCACTCTAATGGCTTTATATTTGCATGAAGTGAAAAAGACAAGAAGTATGAGAGCTTGGGGAATATACCCATTGGGCAAGAAAGATCTTGTTTGATTTATCATTTTTTAAATTGCCTTATGGTGCAGAGGGAGACTCTAATTAAAGTCAGTGGAGAAGTCTTCAACAGAGGAAGGATAAATACTGGAAAATGTTTTTTGTATCCTTCATTTTTTTCTTTTTAACCTTATAGATATAAAATGTAAATAAACAGATCAGGTTGTATATGATGAAGCAGAACTTTTACTCTGCACAAGCAGCAAAAAAAGGTCACAATGGAGTCTTAAACACCCTATAAAATAATCACACTGTAGAGGTTAGCCTGGTATAACAGTTCTGTGTCGACCTCAAATCTTAGTCCATGGTCTAAAAGACAAGGTAGGCATGGTAGGGTATAGGAGCAGGGTGCCATGCTACTGGGATATCTTGTCCTGGTATAACACGCCATAAGAGGCTAATAAAAAATGTTCCAATGTCAAGCAGCTCTAGGTTGTTCTGGTCCCAGTCCACAGTACAGGTGGCAAAGGTGGCTTTGGCTTAGAGCCAGTGCAGAAAAGGAGGCTCAGTTGATGAGGCCTCATATCCTTTGTCAAAGGATTTCTCAGTTTTGCAGAGGAAATGACTTGTTTGGCTGGTTTCTGAAGTTTGGAGTGGAAGTGTTTAATACATATTTTTTTAATTTTGCAGGAATTGTCTCAGTCAGTTGAAGATTTTTATTTTCATTGCTGAAACCTTTTTTGTTTTTTAGCACAAACACATCAATTCTTACAAAATTAAAGGAATAAACTGAAAGAACTTTCTTTATTCCATTAATTTTTTGTGAGGGGAAACACATTTCCCAGCCACATGCACTCTAAAATATCCTGGAAGGGTTAAACAAGTGCTACATTCCCCTTTTCTCTCTAGCTCCTTCACAGAATTTTACTTGGCATACATTTTAGCTAGCCTCTTCCTACCCCCCCTCCCACAAGAATGATGGCTGTTGCTCTGTAATTCAACCTTATGCTTTCAGCGGCTCTGTCACTCTCTCTCAGAACAGCAGGACACTTCCTGGCAGCCTGGCAACTCAGCACAGCTAGTGGGCAAACCGCAGGTTGGGTGAGGATAGCTCAGCATGCTAGTTTTAAATGATCTCAAATTTGAACCTGTCTTGAATTTGTGCAGTATATTTGCTGGAAACAGAGCCTCCCTAAGCTAACACACATTCCTGACCATGCATATATACGGGGAATAATCTGTGACAGATTTACAAAGACTTTGCAGCTCTATCTTTCATGCCATCCCGCTTCTTGACTTGAAGGCAGCACGACCACAGAGGAGGCATATGAATCCCAGTTCTAACCCGAACTGTCTGTGTGGCATTGGGATAAACCAATTAGTCTCATTCTCCTTATTCTGTAAAATGGGGAAATACATCTGATGAAACAATCTGTTACCTACCAAAGCTGTTACCTACCTCATGGGTCTCTAAACCTACCAGTCTCAAAGGTGCCACCCTATCCTGCCTTCTGCCTGACTTCAGACTAACAGCTAACTACTGCTCTCTACTCAAATGTATTGACGATTGATTTGTTAATATTTACGTAGTGCTTTGGCAATATAGACTGCTATTTGAATGTTAACTTTTAGCATATTTATTCAGTTAATCTTTTAACAGCCAATTAAAAGATCCCCAATGACATGTTAGCCACATGCCAGAAGCATAAAACGGAATTTGTACACTTGCATGGGTTAATTTAAAAAAATCCAAATAATGCTGCGAATGGTAATATTTTAATGTGATTTCCTTCAAGGGTTTCCCTTTAACCTAAAAGTTACAAAAAGCTAATTACTTAGCAAGGATCCCTTGAAGAATCCTTTGGTACATACAATTTTCTGAAATCATATGAAAGTCACTGAGGCAGCAGTTTAATAGAATACAAGAAACATGCACATTTCCTGATGTATTTGTAGACATTGTTCATTAGAAAAGTCTTACACTATTGTTTAACAAGTTATATTTGTGACTCAGTTCAGTTTTGAGGGCCAGAAAAGCATCAGTGAAGGGAGATAGAAGTATGCTAGTGGCTGAAGACTTTAGGAGGAATAACACATTGGGTATATCATTCACCCGTGAACAATAACTTCAAAAAAGCTCTAGCTTGCCTCTCTGTGATAACTGGCCTCCCAGTGTTGACTGGTGTGGGAGCTATTGGTAATAAGAGAGTAGCTCTGCTTCAGCTATACTTCTTGCATTGTAAAGCATTGTAACTGGTTCTTGTATAAGAGTGCTGGAGTATGTTATTCTATAGTATTGGCAACCAATGCTTAACCATGTGTTATTCTATAGCATTAGCAACTAATGAATGGCAGTGTGATAGGAATGGGGAATCTTCAAATAAACTGGGAAAAGCACTGTCACATGTCTTTAAAACAAGCAGTTGGCTTTATAGAATCAGTCCCTTATTTAGTTTTACCCATGCTGCCAGGTGCATTGGTTTGGCTGTTTATTTCTGAGCATAAGACTTTGACCTTGTTGAGATAAAGAATACATTTAGGTCATGTAAAAGTCTTCTGGATGTCAATTTGAAGCTTTTTCTTTTGTTATCTCTTCTGCCACTCACTTCTTGCCGCCCAAACCTCAGCCCCAACTCTTGTTTCTTTCTCCAGGAAAAAACTTTTTGTTTCTTTGTCATGGGCAAAGTGAAGTTATGGAAGTGTTCATGAATGCTGAGTTGCTGGCACTGATTACTCACTATAGCCTAGCACTGGTGTTAGCACTCTACACCTGATGCTAAATGAATCAAAAGGACTTGCATTCTGCCTGTCAGCCAGTACACAAACCCTATTTACAATCAATGGGAAATGCTTGCAACTAGCCAAAGGCTGATTTTTTTTTTTTACTCCAGTCCTTCAGGTCATGGGGCAAATGCATAGAGACTTTGTTAAAAAATAACAGATTTTTCTGTCAATCCTCTTTTTATTAAACAATAAAGTATGCAGTAATCAAAAAATGAAGTAATGTTTATATGCTTTGAGCCATTTGGTATTTACTAATTACTAAAGCTCTTACCATCAAACAAATCTTGACAGGTTTGGTGTAAGATACTATAGGTTTGTAAATTTATTGTATTTAGAAGCCTTGAACATGCTGTGTACAGTAATGTAGGACAAAAAAAGATACCTTTAATTTGACTAGATGCAATATGTTGTTATTGTAACATTATGTCCCATTTTTTCTTAATGTATTTAAAATATTTTTGTTGCATCTTTTTTTAAAAGGTGGCATACTCTTCAGTATTCTAAATATGAATGTTTATAAACATCTACAGGTAACTCTAATTATATAAAAATGTAATGCACACAAATAAAGCCAGCATCCCACATTTCCTTGTATTGTACTGTTCACCAACAAGTTTCTGCAAAATATAAACTGATTAGAACTACCTTCCCCCCAGTCTTCAGTTGTTTCACTCTTCCTGGCAATATCTGCAACAAAATTACATCCTACTCAAAGCTTTATGAGTGATGGATTTTAGCAGCAAGGGTTCCCTGAGATTTCTGCAGTAATTAAAATATTTTGGAAACAGTCCTGGTTCCTGTGCAGGGTAGCCAGCACTCTGAAGAGACCTGAATGAGCATGGTCCTTCACAAAATTGACATGTCACAGAGAAAAGAAAAATCCTTTTCACATTTTTCCTGCCCTGTTCATTCTGAAACGATGACCTGCTGTATCTCAATGGGCTGTAATCCATTTATTGCATGTGGGGGTGGAAAGAGGGAGTGGGACATTTCAGCTGGGCTGACTGAGCCGGAGTCACTCTGAACTGAGCCCCCACTGCCATCAAACTGCGAGATTTTCTTCTTGATCATTTTCCTCTCCTTGGCTCGGCGATTCTGAAACCAGATTTTCACCTGAAACATTATGAACAATGTTTATTTCTAAGAAATAGTAAGAGCTGGTATACAATAACAACAGTGATATAAAAGGGGAGGAAAAACTAGCCTGAAGCAGTGAAAAAGTTGTGCTTGTTTGTTGTTACACAACTGCATTTTATATTGTAATCTGTGGAAACGTTATTAGTTTTTCATATCGAATCTCTATTATAGATTTTCCTTTTTAATAGCAATTTAGGAATTACCTTACTGGATCAGACCAAAGATCCATCCGTTCCAGTATCTAGCCTTTATAGGCAGTAGTACAAGATGATTCTGGGGAGTTAAGTGGCCTGTAAATTACTTCCTAAGCCCTGTTAAAGGTTGGCTTATGCCCTGAATCATGAGGCATTATTCCTTTCCACATGTTAAAAACATCATATTTAACATGCTTGTGATTATTCTTGTTATCTGTAGAAATGGTTAATCTTTTTTTGGAATCTTGCTAAGCTTTCGAGGTCAGTGATACTTAGTAATGGGAACTTTCACAAACTAGGAACTTTCATGCGTATGGAAAAGTGTTTACTATGATCAGTTTTCAGTCTGGTGCCTTACCATCTGATGGAGCATCCCACCATTTTTTCTTATGAGAGAGTACATAGGAGCCCCCATATTCCTTTATATAAGACAGTGTTATTCATCATCTTACTCTGTTCCCGGTCTCTCTTGTGGGATCATAAAAATCAGCAACTAAGGCAGGATCTACCCAAACCATTCCCGGCAGATGGTTGTCCACCTTGTTCTGAAACATATTCATTTCAGCTCTTATAGTCTCTTATAATTTTCCTAAATTATTTTAGGTTGGGGGACCAGGACTAAACACAGTATTGCTTGTGAGGATGTAGTATTAGGTATTAACAGCATTAACATAGTTCAGCATTATTTTCTATGATCTTCTTTGTACAGCCTATCCTTTCCATTGTTTTGTATATAGGATGACAAGCAATAGCTAGCTTGGTTGGGGATGTGTTCTGTAGGAATGGTGACAGATAATGCATATCCTATCTAAGCTTTACTTGATGAAAAATAAGGAAATATTAATAAAAGGCATGGTCAAAAATAAGTCATGTAAAGTTCATGTAAAGCAACTTTACACAAAAAGAAAATTAAATGCTAATTCTAGGTAGTGACATTAGTTATTTCAGGAATACCGTTAGTGTGACATAATACAGTTGATTCACACTAGGATATGCATTTCTAAAAATCCAGTGCCTGACCATAAACTATAATTGCATATTTATGCATCCTAATGCTTTATTTTAATATATTGGTTTTCCTTAACTCCATGTTCTTTCACAGAGTGCACATGGATGAGGAGGTGACATCTAAAGAGGGGGAATGTTCAAACATCTGAGAAAGTGGGCTGCTGCCTATAAAAGCTTATGCATTTCTGAATGGATTTGTTAAGGTGTCTGTGTGACCTGCATTCTGCCAAAATATGCTTATTCCAGGAGGGGAACAATATATGAGGGATATATAAAGAATATATGAGGTATATTAGAAAGATGATAATTTGTTCAATAATGCCAAGTCCTCTCTTCTCTACTTTCCACAACAGAATCAGTGAATTTTAGTTGTGAAAGCAGGGATGGGGGCCTGGGTCTGCATGCAACAGTTCATACCACTGTTATTCTCCTGAGTTGTTTTCCACAAGTGATCTCTCCTCCTAGCATTGCAATGAGGAATTCTTCACCTTGAGTTCCTACAGATTTCCCCTGAACACAGCCAGGTTACTTGGGCTCCAATTCAGAAAACAGCTTTCTTCAGGATAACATTTCAGCACTAGCTTAACTTGGGCATATGCTCAGATGATGTCCTGATTAACAGGAAATGTAATGCATCTATTGAATGTTTTCTTAAGTCAGAGCTACGAGCAGTGCATAGAAATAAGAATTTGGTCTTAAAATGCCTGCCTTAAAGCAACCTGCATGTAATAAGTGCATATGCAGTGGACTGTAAAGCAATAGAAAAAAAATACTTATTGAAGGTAAAGAAGACCCTCAGTTCATGTACTCAGCTCACAGTGATCAAAGAAGGATATCTCACAGAAAAAATGATAAAATCAATACCAAAATGCACAGGTATTTAGTTTTATTGGTATTTGTGTTTTTCATTTTGATTGTGTTTGCTGAGAGCTGAACTGTGTGACTGTACTTCTCTTCTGGGCTGCCTACCACTTTGTAAATGAAGCAAAATGCAGAATGCCATTGTTATGATGGATGGAACGAACAGAATACTGTGGTTTGTTAAGCTATCATATAATCAAGAAAAAGTGCTTTTCTAAGCCTGTATTTTGATTCAGTCATTCAAACTTTGCCCTCAGAGTAACCAGAAAATACATGAGTGCAGATTCTTTATATGTTGACTTGGTTTAATTCTGTATATAGTTCCTATGTTTGTCACCATGGCATTCATGCAGTCTATCACTTGGGCCTTGATAGCATGCTATAGATAAAGTTTCAGTACTGAATTTAGCTGCTTGTCATCTCTGACACTAGAGTTTACAAGACCTGGCTTTTAAAAATGGATAGGTAGGAAAACTTTATTCTCCATGTACCTGTCTCTCAGATAGTCCCAGGTTAGCTGCAAGTTCAGACTTTCTCCGTATTGTAATGTATCTGTTGCAATGAAATTCCTTCTCTAATTCTAGTCTTTGATGATCTGTGTAAACAACCCGGTACTTTTCTTTTGTTCTTGTTTTACCTGTTTAGGAAAAATATAGTATTTTAATACTCTAATGTTATGTAGCATTTTTCATCTGCAGATATCAAAGAACTTTACAGTCATTAATACATATACTTTCACAGGACCCATATGGGATTATTTTCTGTGCAGAAGATAGATAGGAAAACTGAAATGCAGAGAAAGTAAGTGATTTAGCCAGGGTCACACCGTGTATTTATGGCACAGCTATGAATTGAATTTAGATCTCCTAACTTTCATGCTTTAACTAATGCTTCATTCTCCTATTGCTGCTCTTTGGGTTAGTTTTTAGTAATTTTTCCTAATTATTTTTCCTTGTAATGGATGCATTAAAGATATGAGCAACTCCATTATTTTTCAGAATATATATCCTGTATTCACTTCTGAACTAA